TTTTGAGATGAGAAAAAGGAGAAGCCATTTTCCTGTAATTCTTCAGGAATTTCCTCTGTGGCACTTGCTTTTCACTTCTGCCATTAGCAGTCTCTGGTGAGAGAAGCCTCTGAAAAGGGGAGATTTGTGGAGAGGGATGGTGGTGAACTGAATGAAGTAACGCCTTGGGAAGATTTCCAGAATCTGTCTGTAGTGATGATGGCACTCCAGGTATTGAGGAGAATAAAAATCTGTTTCCAACGCGGGTGGGGAAGTTGGTACATAAGTTAAAGTTGTTTTAAGGCTCCTGAGGCTCTCATCAAACCCGAACTCTAAGAGCAGGTGCAGAAGACTAGGGATGTAGTTGGTTTGCCTGTCAGGTGAGCTTGTAAATTTTTCTCCTCTGCTGTTGCTGTGCAGATTGTTGTTGGTATGGTCTTTTATGAATAAAGTAGGATGATGAGACAATGACTGGTATTGCTTCCTGTGGCACCTGAAGGTGGAAATCTCGCAGAAAGTTGAGAGCTGCCTAGGGGTTTAGGTAATAGCTGAAGCTACTATGCTAGAATTTGTGTCCAAAGAGGCTCATAACGGATGTTTGACTCTTAACTGGCCCTCACAAATTAAAACTTTGGCCAGTTTCTTCTGCTTCTCAGGTAGGGATTTGGCAAATATGGTAATTTGGTCCCATAGATGGTATGGATACCTGGACATTAACAGCCTGGTCTATTCTAAAACCGAGTAGATACTCTAATGCCCAGTAACACTGAAGAAAAGACCAATCTGCCTAGGACATCAAGCTTTTGCCTTCCCTGCTGGACAGAGTGGAACTTATCCTGTTATTCTCCTGAAAGCTGCAGTGACAACTAGCGAATTAGGGAATATTACAGAAAAAAGGAAAAATTCTCTATAGCCAATTGGTAGAGCTTATCTGCTTTTTTGGTCATAGCTTCTCCAGAGGTGAGATTCATCCACAGACTCTTAGGCCTTGTCTACACTGGGGGGCGGGAATCGATCTAAGATACGCAACTTCAGCTACGAGAATAGCATAGCTGAAGTCGACATATCTTAGATCGACTTAGAATCACTTACTTCGCGTCCTCGTGGCGCGGGATCGACGGCCACCACTCCCCCGTCGACTCTGCTTCCGCCTCTCGCCGTGGTGGAGTTCTAGAGTCGACGGCAGAGCGATCGGGGATCTATTTATCGTGTCTACACTAGACGCGATAAATCGATCCCCGATAGACCCGCCGATCCGGCAGGTAGTGTAGACATACCCTTAGCTGATTGTAGTAATCCTTCCAGCACAGGGCAAGTAATTTTACTCTTTGAAGGAGAACCTAGAAAGTGTAAAACAGAGTTAAGTCTCTTACATTGTCACTGATGGAATTTTCAGGTTATGAGACCATTGTCTTAACCAACTCTTGACAATGGCTAGGCTGCTGGTGTGCTGAGACTACAGCCTATCATGTTGAGCAATATTGTCTCACTGTTTCCTTGTACTCGCACCTCAGTCTGTGTGTATCCATCCGTTGTCTCTTGTTTTATATTTAGTTGGTATGCTCTTTGGGACAGGAACTGTTCTTTTGTTTTGTGTTTGTACAGTGTCTAGCACCACGGGACTAGTGTAGTCCACGAAAGCTTATGCTCTAATAAATTTGTTAGTCTCTAAGGTGCCACAAGTACTCCTGTTCTTTTTACAGGGAGGGAGTGTAATCCTAGGGGAAGGTCTTGTTGTTAGAATGGAATTCTCCTTTTCTTTCCTAAGGTGGAGAGGAGGGGATAGCCCAGAAGTCTCTCTTATAATCCCCTTATCTTTTTTCCCTCGGGATTCTTGGGACTAAAAAGATTTTGGATCTAAGTGAATCTAGTTGTGGGTGCGAGTTGTATATTTGAGCCACGACAGTGATAGCAGATCTGGTAGATACCAAGGAGTCTGAAGTGATCTCTGCTCCCTTCTCCAGCAATGTCATTGGATCAGGTACACTTGTTTCAGAAGGGGTATGACTCTTCATATGGGTTTTGCTTTTAAAAACCACTTGGTTTTGGTCTGGGTTTTGAGGAGATTCTCTGGATCTCCTTAAAATGGATGCACTAGAATCTCTGAATGGATGCACTAGAATCAAGGGCATCTCAATGAGAGGACTGATTCTGCTGACAAAGGCAGACACCTTCGCTATGCCACTGTCTGGAACCAAAGGGGTGTGTTTCTGAGGGCCTGTTCTGCTGGCTGGTCAGATCCGATGACTGTGGATTCCTCAGGACTGTGGTTCTACATTTGGCTCCCAAAGAGGAGGCTGGTAATTTTGTCTAAACTTTAGAATGCTTTTTAGCCTCTGTGAGGGCTGAAGCCAGCCCGTGCATGCTCGTGGATGCTATTGGCTTGGAATTGGAGGCTTTAGCTGCTTGTAGTTGTGACCTGTAGCAGCAAGTCCTGGAGCCTCTTCTAATGCTCTTTTCTAGCACTTGAAGTGAAGGTGCTGCATATAGAACAGTGTGATAGAAAATGACCTTCTCCCAAGCAGGCTGGACACCAAACATGGGCATCTGAAGCAGCTAACACAGTAGAACAAGCGGTGCTCCTCTTAAATACCACCCTCTTCCTTTGTTGTATTTGCAGATCCATGCCAAGGAACAGGATACAATAAATTAATGTATTAAATATAAAAATAAATTAATGTATTGAAATAAAGGAAATAATAAAACTAAGCCTAAACTTTAACTTAATAAACTAAGAAACAGCCAAAGGCTCTGTGTCTTGACGGACCAATCCAAGTCAGATTGAACGAGCAAGGTTCCTGGTCTGTTCTAAACTGCGGCTGGAAGGAACTTAGATGGCTGGAGTGCTCTGCCCCCTTTTTACAGCCTTGTCTTTAGAACATTCAGTAACAGTGAGGGGAAAACAGGAGGGGGTACGAGAGCACTTAACAGACATTGCTACAAGAATGTTCCACCATCCAAGCTGCACTGCCCATGCAGCCCATAAGTGGCAATCTGCACAGGCCAGTCAAAGAACACCACATATATGCACTTCTAGTGTAGATGAGGCTGTTGTAATTTTAACATATGTTAGCGGTCTAGGCTCCCCCCAGAGTTTATTCACAGATTACCTCTACCTGCTAACACATGCTAAAAATACACTTTTTTCACTAGTGAAGACAAAGCCTGAGAGACTGGCACAAAGAAGGGAGACTCTTTAGAAATGGAAAGCGAATACCCTACTGTAACTAAGCAGAAGAGGTATCTATCCAGCTCGGCTCTTGATGAGCACAAGAATAGATGCACCATGCAAACTGTTTCTTTTGTTTTATTTGGACCTTTTTGCTGTATTCTTACTAAATCTTGTTTTTTTAAAACTCTTTGGGAATTTCACATACACTGCCTCAGAGAGTTAAAACATTCCACCTCTAACAAGAGACTCCCATGCTCGACATTCTGTCTCAAAGGTATAGACTAAGGATTCCTCTTGCATAAGGTGTGTGACTCCTTTCTCAAGGCTGTGGTCTGAGACACATGGATCCCTAGTGACCATGCATGCAAAATCAGTTTAAAAGGCAGAAAGTGGCAGTGCCCACTAAGCTGCATCCTGAGCACGACAGTACTAGTCTTGCACATTTATACCAGATTGGCTGCTGGCTAGTGAGATGCAGGTCTCCTTAAAGTCCTTTCTTTTGGGGAGTTTCAGCTTCATTGGGCAATGACACCTGCCAGGGGGAGAGATAAGAAGTCCAGTTTTTGGCATACTAAGTCTAGAATGCAGACTTGATTGCATAGCCAATGACAATCAATCTAAGGATCCTGCCACAGTGCTGTCCCACCCAGGGACCAGGAAAACAGCATCTTGAAAGCTGCTCAGGAAGTTTCATTATTCTAATGTCATGGTTTCTAGTTCTTTTCTCACTTTTCAAATACTACAATAGACCCTGAAAGGTCTGAAAGGACCATTACAGTTTTTCCAGCCAGAGAACCTACTATTATCACTGCAACTAAGCAGGTAGGAAACCAAGACAAGCTTAGAAATAGAAGAACCTGGATAATAAACTAGACTTTAGCCCTTGATGAAATTGCACAGAAATAGCATAGTAAAGGTATATTCTTTCACCTATACCTATGGTCACCTGAATATTTCATTGCTCTCAGGAGAAGGGAGACAAAATACTATGGAGAAATTAGAGGAGCATTTTTGCAGATTTCCAAAATAATCCTGCCACAGGAACAGAGCTATTTGATTATGTTGCTGTAGGACGCCAGTTGGCTTTCAATATTTCACAAAGTAACTGCCAGAACCCTTCGTTAGCAAGTAAAAGAAGGCAGGGACCTGCAGGAAGAAAGACTGCCCTGCTCCATCCTTTACAACGGAGTCTGATTTATTTTGGGATTTGTTTTTAAAGTTCTCTTATTTTTAGGTCTAATTGGGTCCCTACACTCTCCTACTTATCGGAGCTAGCTGTACCTAGCATACAATCCATCATGCATCTCCCATACCCAGTAAATGGATAATTACAAGTTCCCAGTGTAAAGCTGGAGTCTTGCAGATACTACCAATTCTGAATTTGTGACAGCATTAAAGATTAATTAAAACAGGCTTCTTTTATACTTGCATTCCTTAGTACACGCTTTTACTCGACTGTTTTATCATATTCTCCCTCAGCATTTGTTCTTATATCTAACTATAAAGACATTTGCTAAACATCTGGCAGCATAATCACCACCATATCTTCCCTATGTAATAGCATATCACCACACAAGGTTCAGCACAATCATCCTTAATATGAAAGGAACGTGTGGAAGGACAGCCTGTACATACTGTAAATTGCTGGAAGTCGAACAGTGAACGGAGACAAAAATTATATTTCCTAGTCTTCATCACCTTAAGGTAGGCAGAATCCTCCCAAAGACCAATCTCTTACAAGTATGCCAACTTCCCACAAGGACCATGAACCCTCAGTATACTCCTGCCTCCTCACCCGACTGTATATTCCATAACCGCAAAATGTAATAGAAAATAGTTTTCTGCAGACCTGCAAAGAGAGTCAAGACCCCCTGATCCATCCAGTCGCATAAAGTTGTGTCGCAGGTTGAGGTAGGTGATGTCTTGACTGTAGAAGAGATGCTCAGGTACCTCCTCAAGGCTATAACAAGACAGATCAACTGTGCTGAGTCGCTGAGACACCACCTGAAAAAAAGAAAAAGGGCAACAGAGTTACAGCTACATTTACAATTTTCTTTCCAGTTCAATTCAATGAAAGTTTATTGGCGGAACAAGCTAGACAAGTGCTAACAAAGCACAAGAAAATGAAACCCCTCAGGTATCTATCAGAGGCAAATTCAGCCCACCCAGGATAGGTTTACATACAGTGTTTAGGATCCCCGGCCTGTATGTTGCTACTGTCCATTCCTGTCGGCAGGCACATACACAAGCATGGAGAAGGGCACAGGAAAGGCACTGCTCTGATTTGCATACATTTTTTTATTCAGAATACCAGCCAACCTAAATGGCACAGGAAATCCAAGGTGAGACAAATATCTAACTTATCTTAGGCTTTAGTGCCGCTGCCTATCAGCATAATATCTGAGCACCTTCAACATCAGATAGAATGGAAACAGTGAGTACCCAGTAGGGTTTCTTTGCCAGAGGACGTTGTGAAGGCCAAGACTACAAGAGGGTTCAAAAAGAATTAGACAAGTTCATGGAGGACAGGTCCATCAATGGCTATTAGCCAAGATGGGCAGGGATGATGTCCCTAGCCTCTGTTTGCCAGAAGCTGGGAATGGGCCACAGGAGATGGATCACTTGATTATCTGTTCTGATCATTCCCTCTGAAGCATCTGGCATTGGCCACAGTCAGAAGACAGGATACTGGGCTAGATGGACCTTTGCTCTGACCCAATATGGCCATTCTTATGTTCTTTTGTTTGCTGGTTTTTGGAGTGTTGTGAATGTCATTCTTTGTATGTTGGAAAGGTACTATCAAAGAAGAAGGTTTTGCAATGTTTCCTAGAGGTGCTCACTTTGGGCTTTGTGATCTGCACTGTCTCACAGGAGCAAAACTCTCTTGGCAGTTCAAAGATTGATATTTGGTCTCTTATGCAGCTGGGTGTAACAAGGCACTGGTCCTGGGATGCACGTGCACCCGTTCCAAGACTGGCCCCCTTTCACAGAATTGCTTTTCAAGTGAGGGGGCTGAGGGAATAGCAAGGTCATGTGACTACGTAAAAGGGCATGCTGAGAGATATAAAGGCAGTTTGTGTTCTGTTAGGAAGACTCCAACAGAATAGAATCAATTTTCCACAGTTCCCAAGCAGAGGGAAAGGAACCTGCTGGGAAGGTGGTGGTCAGACTAGATTATCTCAATGCTCTCTTCTAGCCTTGGACTCTATGACTGAAAAAAACTTCATCTGAGACATTTGCACGAAGAAAATCTCAGCTGTGACAGGATTATAAAGGACCAGGAAGTTCTGGAAAGAGGGCAAAACCCTGGTAAACAACTGGAAGGACTACTGAGCACTGGAAAAGTCTAAAAGGAACCGGTGAGCCTGGAAAAGCAGGGTGGGCTAACTGTTATTTTGAGAATAAACCAGACCCCATAAGGCGAGAGTAATTCAAAAGCACCAACTAAGGTGGTTTGACTAGAGGGAGGGGGAAAAAGGAGCTAAACTGAGGCAACAGATGGGTCCAGTGCTGATAAGCTCCTACTACATGGGGGAACAATCTATTAACTGCTTTGACAATTGCAACCTCTGCCTTAAACTAGCAGTGGAAGCAAACTGGAAGCCAATGGAAGAGGCAGACAGCTGCATTCTGTATCAACTGCAGTTTCTGCATTATTTTCACAAATTATACTACATAAGAGCAAAGTCTTTAGTAGTGAAAACATGTATACATTGGCCTATATGGTGGAAGCCATACACTTTATACAAGAAGCCTTTGTTAGCATTCAGGCCAATCAATGTAAAGCAGAGAACAACAAATGCAAGTCAAACACATAGAAGATCTAGCATGGAGAAATGGGATATTTTATACAGCCAAAGCAAATATAAGACATTATCTCTTAACCTGTATTTCACATCAGAAGCTGATACTATCTAAGGCCTGAGTTAGCACAGTCCATCAATCACCAATAAACATGCTCTGTAGTACACAGGAATCATCATAGTGGATCAGACCAGTGCTCCATCTAGTCCAGAATTCTCTTTGACAGTGGACAATACGTTTCAGATAAAGGTACAAGAAACCCTGTAACAGAGTGTTATGCAATAACCTGTCCACAGTTAAAGTCCAATCACCTGGCAGTTAAAGACTGGCTCATGCACTGAAGCTTGATGGTTTACATCCCATTTTTAATTCTACCTAATGTAACTGTGGATGTCCTTACTACCTGTATAACATCTAGTCTTTGTTAAATCCTGGTAAACTCTTGGCCTTTAGTTAAACAAAAACGTATTTCCTTAGATTAGATTTAAATTTATTGCCTTTCAGTGTCATTGAATGTCTCCCTGGTTCTCGTAGTCTGAAAAATGATCAATAAGAGCGCCTCATTACAGCAGACTTTCCAGGTCTCTAATAATTTCCATCCATTTCGCTATTTCTGATATATCACTAGTTCCCTCACTGCCATCTAGGATTGAGTTTGGGCTTCAAAGTGGGATCCCTTGCTCCAATGTCCTCTTGCCCTGACAATGGTAATGTCAACTCTAGGGCCTCCTGAGTCTCAGGACCGATTCCACTAGGTGTGGCACCAGTGAAACATAAAAACAGAAAAGCAGAATAGGCTTCCCCCCTAGGGGTCCAGGAAGAATATAATGACAAAGCCACTCTAAGGAGGTGCTGACAAGGTGAGAGTCACTGGAACCTGACTCACTACCAAAGCCTGGAACAAAAGGAACAGGTGATGCTGTAACAGCCAATGTCAGGGGCTAAGACCAGATAACGGCACACCCAATATGGAGGACACAGTGGATGCCAATGTGCCCAATGACAAAGAGTCCAGTGCTAAAGGTTCTGATGCAGAGATCTCCAATGCCAGGAGTACTGAAGCCAAGAGACCCAATACAAAACACAAGTCTGATATAGCCAATACCAAATGAGTCTGTGCCAATGTACCTGAAATATCTGATACCCAAAAACCCAACAATGAAGAGGGTCTCAGACACCCAGGTTGGCACAGCACCGAGTTGTGAGATTCATGCTCATTTTTTCTGCTTCTTCCTTACTTGCAAGGAGAGAAAATGATTCCAGAAATGCAATCCCTTCAGGATTTAATGGGCCTGCCACATGAACAGGATGTTGAAGTGAAGCTCAACACTGAAGCCATCCCCTTCTGACTCTGCTCTGATGTGGAATAAGCATGTGGACCTGAACAGAATCCACCTCCTCTGGTCGTATTTGGATTCTGTGCTAACTCAAATCCATCAGAGAGGCTCTCTGTGAGTCTAGCACATTGTTCAGGTGGATGCAGCCAAGGCAGTAGGAAGGACTTATAGACTGCTGTAGCTGGGAAGAAAGAGAAGTTAGTCTCTGGGATTAGTTTTGAAGACCACAATAAACTTCAGATGCTTGGTTAATATGAATAGTGCTATCAGCGTGGGATAGTGCAGAACTACAGCTCATAGTTGCTACATAGCTGCCACAGTCTGGTAGAATGCTGAAATGAAGCACCCAGCAGATCAGAGAGACATGCAGTGGATAAGTAGCCTCCAACCCACAGATGTCATAGTTCAAAGGAAGCCCTCAGGTGACCTCTGTACTCTCTAAGAACACGAGTTAGAAGCTGTGTCTCAAGAGTAAGCCTGTTCCAAAATTCTCCAAGCTTTCTTTCCTCTTGCCCCTGTATCACAGCACCCGCACCTACAGCTTATTGGGCCTCACCGTGGATGCCTGCCGGTGCCATCTCTGGTACTCTGCCAGCGTTTCAAAGCAAACATGGTAGGTTTGAGCTTGTGCACCAGCACAGCTGAAAGCAAGCGAGTGCTGCCGACGCTTCACTTCTTCCACCTGAAATGGGGGAAATAAGAACAAAAATAGCCCAGTCTACATTCCAACAATTACACAATCTGAAATGCAGGGGGTGGGAATGTTAAACAAAACCAATACAAGACACTCCACAAAGTACAGTCAAGTTAGTCCCCTCTGGCTGATATACAGCAAAAACTCCTTTTCAGAACCTCTCTGCTGAAACAGAGCAATTTTTACAGTAGGGGTGCTGAATTTAGAAACCATGTACACCTCTACCTCGATACAACGCTGTCCTTGGGAGCCAAAAAATCTTACCACGTTATAGGTGAACCACGTTATATCGAACTTGCTTTGATCCACCGGAGTGCGCAGCCCCGCCCCCCCGGAGCACTGCGTTACCGCGTTATATCCAAATTCGTGTTATATCGGGTCACGTTATATCAGGGTAGAGGTGTATTTGGTTTGCTATTACTACTTCAAGACAGGGAGTGTAATAGCACTCCCACCCCAGCACCCCTAGTTCCAGCACTTATGGAACAGACCCAATAAGTAATTATTTCTGGGTCACGGTAAATTGCTGGACAGAACCAATACACGTAAAAGTATCATGTAATTTATGGCTGAAGCACAGAACCTGCATTCCTTTCACTGTTTTATTAAACTAAAAAGATTGCCTAGTAAACAAGCAGAGGGGAGTGAGGCAGATGTATTCAAACATCTTAACACAGAATCTCACTAAAGAGGCCTAGACTGACTTCTTGTAGGGAACATAATTCCTGGTGGCCCCTTCATTCTCACATCTTACCTACAGGAAACTAACAAAGAATCAGTTAGGCCCAAGAGCCTCACCTTCCCTCCGACAAGAGGCAGAATGTGCATCTTTCCTGTATGGCAATCCTTCGCGGAGGATATGATGAGGCAGGTGCCACAGAGAATGACCAAGCGTTCTGCCCACTTGTGCAACTGCGTCTTCCCTTTGCGCACATTATAGACCCCAGACAGAAGGATTCGGTCTAGTTGCTCCACTTGACATGGCTTTTCTGAAAAGAAAATGGCACTTTATCATCCACTTTTCACTGGATTCTTTCTTTCCAGCTTATGGGGATAATTAGCACCAAAAAAACACATGCAATCTCAGCTATTAAAACAGACAACTATAGGTAAGTCAAGGCAGAATAAATAGTGGTACACTGAGAACAGAGTCTCATTTGCAGGATAAACAACCTGTAATAAACAATGCAATAATATTTACAAATATTTTGTAGAGACAGATGAATGATTATATATTGTTATGCTCGAAGACATTAATGGCTGCAGTCAAGCGTGTCTGATCTACTTGCAATCACAGACATCATTAAAGTTGATGGGCATGCTAGCCATCCTTCATTCTGGCTAAACGGAAATGCAATTAAGCTCCTTTACAGAGTAAGATAGCTGAAACCACTGCCCAAGGCACTGGGCCATATGGGAAGGCTTTAGACAGAACTCAAGGCAAATGAGGAGTTTCCTTGGGGACTGACTGCAAAGGCAGGAGGCGCTGATTGGTTGCAGCTGTGTTTGCATGAGTGGAAGAGATAGAAAGCAACCAGAAAGCCAGAGAAACAGGCATGAGCATGGCCCTGAGAGGAAACAGAGACAGAATTCCTTGGGGGCACAAGACTGGCTGGAAAGGCAGGTTTGGAATTTGTAAGCAAGGAAACTGGCCTGCTGTTTGTTCCTCTGGTGTACACAGAAACAGAACTGTGTACATTCTTTGCATCAAAGAAATTCTGATTTGTACCATCAATTTCTCTTCCTAACAGAAACAACTTGGCAAGACCCCACATAATGCTAACTTCTCAGGCCAAGAGGCGAGAGTATGTTCTGAGATAAACTATGATGACATTAAAAAAAAATCCTCTTCCTTGATATGTCATTGTTTACCTTAGAATGCAAGCTCTTTGGGGCATATACCTGGTGCTGTCAGCAAAGTACTACGCACATCAAAAGCATAACAAATATCTAATGGGTTAGTATTAGTTAAGCAATTTTTCCTTTGAGAAAGAAATCAAAGATGCAGTGAGGTTACAGTTTTCTAATTAAATGAACTTAAAAATGAATTCTGGTTTGCTAACACATATGAAAGGCTATTTTAAGTTTGTCTTTTGATACAACAAGAATTTAAAATAATTAAACACGTTTTCTAGTAAAATTCTGTCACAAGATCTCTCTCCTGCTTTCTTAGTATTTGTATTTCTTGCATTTGGGGGAGTTTTTAAAATGCTTTGTTTTTTTGGCCACAATTCCTTTTGCAGGGTCATTTTTCATCTTCAGTAGCCTGAAAATTATTCAAACCTTGATTTGTGTGTGGCATATTTCATCTATAGGTACTGGAAAATGGAACATTTAGACTCACAGACTTTAAGGTCAGAAGGGACCATTATGATCATCTAGTCTGACCTCCTGAACAACGCAGGCCACAGAATCTCACCCACCCACTCTTGTAACAAACCCCTAACCTATGTCTGAGTTACTGAAGTCCTCAAATCGTGGTTTAAAGACCTCTTGACATATTGCATATGGTGTAGAGATCTGAATATACTGTTAAATAAAGAGGTATCACATATGTATATTATTGTTTTATAAAATCCTGACAAGTTCTGGAGGCATAGCTGTTAGAATTTTTAAGAGCACCACTCATGCAGAAGACTGTACTTCTAATTTGCACAGAATGGGGCTTGGCACATCCATTAAAATTCACTGTAAACAGGAAAAGTTAAACCATTGATATAGGTACTTAGATGGTGCCCATCACTATAATATCTGAGTACCTTTGCTCGTCTATGCCGATCCAAGTGCCCACTGCAGGAAGCTGGTTTTTCTTTATTTAAAAATAAATAAACCTCTACCCCAATATAACACGAATTCGGATATAGTGCGGTAAAGCAGCGCTTCGGGAGGAGGGGCGGGGCTGCACGCTCCGGTGGATCAAAGCAAGTTCGATATAACGCGGTTTCACCTATAACATGGTAAGATTTTTTGGCTCCCGAGGACAGCGTTATATTGGAGTAGAGGAGTACCAATTTAAGAAGGCTCTTAAAGTAACTGACAAATAGTTCTTGAGGTTAGGAAAAGAAAGGGATCTGTAGCTTTCACATTCTACAGGGTGGCAGATGTTCAGGCACGATGCCTTTTCTGCTAGGAAAAATCCTTGATTTACAATTTAAAAAATTCATAAATTGATTGTGGTTGCAATCAGAAGCATGGAATATAAATATAGAATCTTGGAAAGGGTAAACTTCTTAATGCTGATATATGGGCTATTCAGATAATCTGCTAAGTGAAAACATAATAGTTGTACATAAAATATCGCATTGTAGGAGTAAAAATATTCCAAGACATTTAAAACACTGTCTAGAAATCAGGGAATGGAGACTTGCAAACATCACTGAAGATTTGGAAATATTAGTTCTGTTTGCCAGTTTTGTACTGATATGGTTCCATGATATAAGTACACCTCTACCCCGATATAACGCGGTCCTCGGGAGACAAAAAATCTCACCGTGTCATAGGTGAGACTGCGTTATATCAAACTTGCTTTGGCCCTCCCTGTTCCTTGTTCCCTGACCGCTCCCTCCAGAGACCCCCGTCCCTAATCACCCCCAGGATCCCACCCCCTACCCAACCACCCTGCTCCCTGTCCCCTGACTGCTCTGACCCCTATCCACACCGCCCACCCCCTGACAGGCACTCACCGGCAGTGGCGGGAAGCGGAGCAGCCCAGCCCCAGCCCGCTCCACTCCGCCACCTCCCAGCCGCGGCGCTCCGCTTCCCACAGCCAGTGAGTGCGGGGAGGTTGGGGAAAGGACGGCCCCCATACTCACCTGCGGCGGGAAGCAGAGTACCGTGGCTGGGAGATGGCAGAGTGGAGCGGGCTGGGGCCAGGCTGCTCCGCTTCCCGCCACTGCCGGTGAGTGTGGGGGGGGGATCCCTTCCCTCAAGTCCCCTCCCCCGAGTGACATGGCTGGGGCAAGGGGAGCAGAGCAGGCTGCTCCCGGCCAATCCCCAGGGCCACTCTGGGACTGCGGGGCCCCCAAACCTGCCCCCCACAGCTCCTGCCTCCCAGACCCTGGGGGGGAGCCCCTGACCACTCCCGAGACCCTCTGCCCCTCATCCAACCCCTCGGCCCTGGCCTGGCCCGGCACCCTTAACATGCTGCTCAGAGCAGCGTGTCAGAGCTTTACCGCCTTGTATGCGAACCCGCCTTATATCAGGTCGCGTTATATCGGGGTAGAGGTGTAGTTCTAATGCAAGCGGAACAGCCTTTTCTGGGTTTGAGGGACTCTGCATAGAAGATACTGTGTTACATTCCCTATTTTGATACCAAAATCACAGAGGTGAGGCTAAATTGAATGAGCCTCACCACCTCATGAAACCAGGAACCCAAAATAACATCCAGCCACTCATCCTACAAAGAAGAAAACAAAGGAAAGAGGAAGCCTTCATTAAAGCAGGCATCGTGAATATAGTATAACCAATTCTAATGGCATTAGGAGATTGACCCTGCCAACATCACATTAGCCTCAGACACTTCTGAGATATTTATGGAAACTCGCTCAGAACGATCCCATATCCTCTTTTGAATGAGAGAGATAATACATATTGATTTTAGATGACCATGTGGTTAGCCTTGCCTCAGCAGGTGGGAAATAACAAACAATTGCACAGACAATATCCAGCTTCTAAATGGAATCCCTGAGCTCTTCCTGTAGCCCACTGCCTTCAACTGTAACCAGACAGTTCAGATCCTGTCTGCACTAAGGCCAACTGCTCATAAAACAGGCATTTCTCACCCACAGGTCTCTGCTTCAGCTGCAATCAGACGTGCCTGAGTTATGATACAGGTGGTTTAAAAGAGCGTATAGTTTGGTCAAGGTGTTTTTCATGCAGGGCCCTGAACCTGCAAATTGACCCAGGCATTGCCCTTGCCCAAATCAGCTGAAACCTGTTGACATTCAGGACCCGCTGCAAGGCTCACTTGTTTTCTTGGAAAGGGCTGAGCTGCAGATGGTTGGGGTCGTTAGGCAAAATCTTAGGTAGACACTTAAATCACAAATGACATCAAATAAGTAATGTAAACACATCCCAATTAAAGGGAAAGACTTGGTAACTAGATACTTATTTCTGATTTCAAAATAGTGACCTAGTGCATGTGCAGGCCTAAATATTACTCTTTCTTTCCTTGTCTGAGCAGAAATACAGAATCCGATCCCAGGCGCTATTTCAGGGGTGGCCAACCTGAGCCTGAGAAGGAGCCAGAATTTACCAATGTACATTGCCAAAGAGCCACAGTAATACATCAGCAGCTCGCCAGCAGATCCCGCCGCCATGCCTCCTGCCCACCAGCAGCCCTGCCAATCAGCAACCCCCCTCCCTCTTCGCACCTCCCAATCAGCTGTTTTGTGGTGTGCAGGAGGCTGGGGGGGGGAGGTGGAGGAGCGAGGGCACGGCAGGCTCAGGGGAGGGGGCAGGGCCAGGGGTTGAGCAGTGAGCACCCCCCGGCACATTGGAAAGTTGGCACCTGTAGCTCCAGCCCCGGAGTCGGTGCCTATACAAGGAGCCACATATTAACTTCTGAAGAGACGCATGTGGCTCCGAAGCCACAGGTTGGCCACCCCTGCGCTATCTTGTAAGTGAAGCAGAAACAATTTTCAAACATCCTAGTTTAAAATGTTAGTGTGCTTGCCATTTTTAAGTCTGACATGCATACCTGCTACCAATATGCAATTGGAAACACATGGAAGCTCGTGTTTATAAAAAGCTTCCCAGACTCTCCCCAACCTACTGCATCAGGCTATTTTGGTCTGAGCACAGAGACGTCCATGGAAGCATAACTGTCATCCCAGAGGAGACCAAAGGGTCCACCTAGACAATTTATTGTCAGCAGCTGGGGGCCTTGGAGCTCTCAGCCACTGCAAGCAGAAGGGGGCCCTGTAGTCATCAGATGCCATGGGCACCTGGAGCTGTCGGCTGCCATGGGGGCACCCAGAGGTCTGAGACA